TCTATTCATCTTTTGTATCTGTTTATCAATTCATCAATCTATCTATCCATCCATCCATCTATCTATTAATCTATCTATTAATCTATCTATCTATCTATATACAGTAGCTATCTATCCATCCATCCATGTATTCATCTATCTGTCCATCCTTCTTTCCAATCATCTATCTAGATATCTATCCCTATCTATCTATCTATCTATCTATCTATCTATCTATCTATCTATCTATCTATCTATAATATTAATAATAATGTTATGTTATTGTTGTTATTACTATATCACATATTTATATATTATTATATATTATTGCTATTATATATATAATAACAGCAATAATATATAGCATATTCATAATAATAATTATACAACGTAATAACAACACACATTATTATTAATTATTTATAATAATATATATTACAACAATAATAGATAATAGCAATCACATACACTATTATTAGTAATATGTAATAACAGATCATAATAGCAATATAAACAATATATAATATATTAATAATAATTCACCAGAAAAATAATAACAATAAAATGCAACATATTATTATGAATAATATATAATAATATAATCATAATATAGAATCATAATATAGAATCATAATAATAAACCTTATAATTATAGTAGCAACAAGAACCCAATATGTAATATGTTAACAATAATAATAAGAAAAACAGTATATAATATAATAATAATAAATATAATGAGAAAAATAGTAAATAATAATAATAAATGAGAAAATAACATATAATAATAAAATATAATGAGAAAAATATAATGAGAAAAYAGTATATAATAATAATTGGGAAAATAACATATAATAATAATAAATGTGAAAATAGTATATAATAATAATAAATGAGAAAATAACATAGGATAATAATAAATGAGAAAAATAGCATATAATAGTAATAAATATAATGAGAAAAATATAATGAGAAAATAGTATATAATAATAATAAATGAGAAARTAACATAGGATAATAATAAATGAGGAAAAATAGCATATAATARTAATAAATATAATGAGAAAAATATAATGARAAAATAGTATATAATWATAATAAATGAGAAARTAACATAKAATAATAAATGAGAAAAATAGCATGCAATAATAATAAATATAATGAGAAAAATATAATGAGAAAATAGTATATAATAATAATAAATGAGAAAATAACATAGGATAATAATAAATGAGAAAAATAGCATATAATAATAAATATAATGAGAAAAATAATATCTAATAATAAAAATACCATCAGAAAATAGTACAAATAATAATAATAATAATGTGTTCCCATCCCCATTGGCAAACCATGTGCCCAGGGCCCAGTTTCCTCTCTTTTTTTCCCTTCTTCTGGTCCTTCCTTCCTTCCTTCCTTCCTTCCTTCCTTCCTTCCTTCCTTCCTTCCTTCCTTCCTTCCTTCCTTTCCCCATTCCCTCCATCCCTCGGTTGCATTTAATACCCTATGAATATCCCTTCTTGAAAAAGAGATCCAACCTTTCCAGGTCTGGCTCCTTGCTGGACTTAGCCTGCCCTAGAATGCGATTTCAACCCGCATTCTGTAGCCAGTGTAGACCCTTTCACCGTGCAGTTCAAGCCTGCATTCTATGGGCAGCCTGGCTCTTGCACCTGAGCTTCCTCCCACCGCCTCCCCTTCGGGAATTAGACCCGCTAATTAGTGCCTCTTGCATCTCATTATCTCATTTTCAAAGAGGAGGAGGGGGGGGGAGGAAGGAGTTCAAACTGCAGGATTTGGCAGTGTAGACCCAGCCCTGGGGAGAAGGGGCTTGGGAGTGGGGGACCCTAACAGCATACCCCCCCAAAAAGCTTCCTTAAGAAATAATAGATCCATAATAATAATAATAATAATAATAATAATAATACTATAGCTGGATAACAATAATAAAAAATAATAAAATTGTATCATAATATAGTAATAATAATTTCATGACAATAATAATGTAATATTAATCATAATGTAATAATAGTAATATAATTTAACAATAATTTATTATAATAATAATATAATAATAGTAATTTTATTATAATGATACCATTTAATAATAATTTATTATGATACTGTAATCATAATGTAATAACAGTAATTTTATTATAATGATACCATTTAATAATAATTCAATAATATTTTATTATTGCGATGTAATGATAATAATTTATATTAATTCATAATCATAATAATTTATAATTGTAATTGTTATAATTTTATAATAATTTTATTATAATAATTATAATTACTGGCTTATAATGTCAATCAATAATAGCAATTTTATATGATATATTTATGATAATAATGGAGTTTGATGAATAATAATAATAATCAATAATGATGATGGTGGTTGTAATAAATGTATGATGATGGTGATGAGTATAATGATTCTGATTGGGTTCCACCTTCTGCAGGAGGAGCTCTCCCAGGTCCTGAAACCTGCCCAGTTCCCTTAGAGTGGGAGGCAAAGCCAGGAGTGGATAGGCCGCCCCATTGACATGGAAGGAAGGCTTTTCCCTCCGCTTCTTCCTCTTTCCCGGTTGGAAATCAGATTCGGAAGTTCCTCCCAAAACCCTGGAGCTGCACTCCATGCCCTTGAAACAGGGGAGACATAATTTTCCGAGGCCCCAGGAGGAAAAGGAGGGAAGGAGAAAGAGGAGGAGGAAGGAGGAGGGGAGGGGAGGGAAGACAAGAAGGAAGAGGGGGAGGAAAGGCATGAAAGGAGGATGAGGAAGAAGAGGAGGAGGAAATGGAGAAAAAAGAGAAGAGGGGGAGGAAAAGCATGAAAAGAGGAAGAGGAGGAAAGGGAAGACAAGAAAGAAGAGGGGGAGGAGTGGATTGAAAAGAAAAAGAGGAAGAAAAGAAGGAAAAAATAGAGAAAGAGGAGGAGAGGAGTGAAAGGAGAAAAAGGGGGAGGAAAAGAAGGAAGAAGCAGAAAAGGAAGAGGACGAGGGGAGGAATGAAAGGAGGACGAAGAAGGAGAAGAAGGGGAGAAAGAAGGAAAAGTAGGAGAGGAAGAATGATAGGAGGAAGAGGAAGAAAAGAAAAAAAGAAGCGGAGAAGGAAGAGGAGGGAAAAAAGAAGGGAGAAAAGAAGGAAAAAGGAGGGAAAAGAGGAGGAAGAAAAGGAAGGAAGGAGGGAAATAAAAGGAAAAAGAGAAGGAGGGAAAGGAAGAAAAGAAGGAAGAAGCAGAAAAAGGAGGACGAAGAAGGAGAAGAAGGGGAGAAAGGAGGAGATGAAGAATGATAGGAGGAAGAGGAGGGAAAAAGAAGGGAGAAAAGGAAAAGGAAGGAAGAAGAGGGGGAGATTAATCAAAGGAGAGAGAGAAGGAGGCAGATGAGGAGAGGAATGAAAAGAGGGAGAGGAAGAAAGAGAGGAGTGAAAGAAGGAGAATGAACCATAAATATAAATAAAGTATTATTATTATTATTATTATTATTATTATTATGAAAGGAGAAAGAGGAGAAGGAGGCAGATGAGGAGAGGAATGAAAAGAGGGAGATGAGGAGGAGGAAAAGAAAGAAAAGAAGGAATGAAGGGAGAAGGAGGAAGAAAGAAGGAGGAGAATGAAAGGAGAAAGAGGAGGAGGCAGATGAGGAAAGGAATGAAAATAGGGAGAGGAGGAAGAAAAGAAAGAAAAAGAAGGGAGAAGGAGGAAGAGGAAGGAAGAAGCAGGAGAAAGAGGAAGAGGCAGATGAGAAGAATGAAAAGAGGGAGAGGAGGAGGAAAAGAAAGAAAGAAGGAATGAAGGGGAAGGAGGAAGAAAGAAGGAGGAGAATGAAAGGAGAAAAAGGAGGCAGGCAAGAAAGAGAGGAAGGAAAAGAAGGAGAGAAGGAAGAAGAGGAGGAGAAAAAGGAGGTGGAAGAAGAAGCGGAATGAAGGGAGGAGGAAGGCGGGGAAGAGGCTTCTCTTCCTTCGCGCGAGTGAGTGAGGGAGTGAGTGAGTGAGTGGGGGCCCCTCCCCTCCTGAAAGGGGGCGTGGCGTGGGGGGCGTGGCCCCTCCCCTTTTCCTCCCACGTGCTTCCCATTTCCAAAGGGGGAGGGGGGGCTGGTTCGGGAGCCTCGTCGGAGCTTCGGAGCGGCTGCTGCTCCTTCTCCTTCTTCTCCTCCGTCCGCTCCGTCTTCTTCTTTCCTTCCTTCTTTATTCGGAAGGAAGGAAGGAAGAAAGGAAGGAAGGGAAGAGTGCCGTCGAGGCGGGTCAGCCAATGGGCGGCAGGCCCGACGTGATGTCAGCCGAGAAGTAGAAAAAGGCGCGGAGGAAAGAAGGAAGGAAGGAAAGAAAGAAAGAAAGAAGAGAAGAGGGAGCAGCGGGTCGGCCTCTTTCCCCTCTCCTTTTGTGCTTTGGAGGAAGAAGGAAAGAAGGGAGAAGGAGGAGGAAGAGAGGACGAGATCAATCCGAGTTGAAGGGAGGAAGAAGGAAAGGAAAGAAATAAAGGAGGAGGAAAAGAAGGAGCGGCGGAAAACGGGATTCTGTGCTTCGGAGGAAGAGAGGAAGCAGAAGAAGAAGTGGGAGGAAGAGAGGAAGGAAAGAAAGAAAGAAAGGAGGAGGAGAAGCAGAGGACTGAATCCTTTTCCCTCTCCTTCTGTGCTTTGGAGGAAGAGAGGAGAAAGAAGAAGTGGTGGAAGAAAGGAAGGAACGAACGAAAGAAAGGAGGAGAAGGAGAAGCGTTGGATCGGCCTTCCCCCCCTCTCTGCGTTTTGAAGAGAGGAAGAAGAAGAAGTGGAAGAAAGAGAGGAACGAAAGAACGAAAGGAGGAAGAGGAGAAGAAGCGTCGGCTCGGCCTTTTTCCTTCTCTCCTTCTGTGTTTCGACGGAAGAGAAGAAAGAAGTGGAAGAAATAAAAGGAGGAGGAGGAGGAAGAAGAGAAGCGTCGGGTCGGCCTTTTTTCCTTCTCTCCTTCTGTGTTTTGGAGGAAGACGGGAAGAAGTGGAAGGAAAGGAGGAGAAGAAGCAGCGGCGAAGGCTTATTTTCCCTCTCCTTCTGAGCTTTGGAGGAAGAGAGGAAAGGAGGAGAAGAAGAAGTGGAGGTCTTTCCCCTCTCTTTCTGTGCTTTGGAAGAAGAGGGGAAGAAGAAGAGGGAGAAAGGAAGGAAAGAAGAGAGGAGGAGGAGAAGAAGAAACGTCGGACGGGATGAGACCGGCCTCCTTTTCCTCTCCTTCCATGCTTTAGAGGAAGAGAGGAAAGAAGAAGAAGAAGAAGTGGAGGTCTTTTCCCTCTCTTTCTGTACTTTGGAGGAAGAAGGGAAGAAGAAAAGAAGAGAGGAGGAGGAGGAGAAACGGAGGAAGACGGGATGAGGTCGGCCTCCTTTTCCTCTCCTTCCACGCTTTAGAGGAAGAGAGGAAAGGAGAAGAAGTGGAGGTGTTTTCCCTCTCTTTTGTGCTTTGGAGGAGGAAGAAAAGGGAGAAAGGAAGGAAAGAAGAGAGGAAGAAGCTGCGGCGGAGGAGGACGGGATCTGCTGAGCCTCCTTTTCCTTTAGAGGAAGAGAGGAAGAAGGAGTTTTTTCCCCCTCTCCTTCTGTTTTGAAGAAGTGGAAGAAAGGAAGGAAAGAAAGAAAGGAGAAGAAGAAGAAGTGGAAAGAAGGAAGGAAAGGAGGAGGAGAGGCGTCGGGTCGGTTTCTTTTCCCTCTCCTTCTGTGCTTTAGACGGAAGAAGATCCTCTCTTTCTGTGCTTTAGAGGAAGGAGAAGTGGAAGGAAAAGGAGGAGAAGAACAAGAAGAAGGAGCAGCGGATCGGCCTCCCTTCCCTCTCCTTCTTTGCTTTGGAGGAAGAGGAGGAGAAGTGGAGGGAAAGGACTAAAAGAGCAGAAGGAAGCGGAATAAAGGAATAAAGGGAGGAAGAAGAGGTGGAGGAGGAGGAAGAGAAGGAAGAATTGAAAGAGGAAGAAGAGGAGGAGGAGGGATGGCGCGCTCACTTTCTCCGCCTTGGTAGGAGGAAGGGGAAGAGGAGGAGGAGGAAGGCTGCTGGTTCTTCTTCTCCTTCTCCCGGCTGGGCTGGGGCGCCAGGCCGCGCTCTCTTCTCCTCCTCCTCCTCCTCTTCTTCGCGCTCTTGCTTCTCGTGGATCGGGGCCATGCTCTTCCACAGCCTGTCCGGCGGAGGGGCCGAGCTGCACGGCGTGATCGACGAGATGGACCGGAGGGCCAAGGGAGAAGCGCCCGCCATCAGCTCCGCCATCGACCGGGGAGACACCGAGACGGTAAGCGAGGGGAGGGAAGGGAGGAAGGGGAAGGAAGGAAAGGAGGAAGGAAGGAAGGAAGGAAGGAAGGAAGGAGGAAGGAAGGAAGGAAGGAAGGAAGGAAGGAAGGAAGGAAGGAAGGAAGGAAAAAGAGAGGGAAGGGGAAGGAGGGTAGGGAAGGAGGGAAGGGAAGAAGTAAACGAAGGAGAAGGAAGGGAAGGGAAGGAAAGAAAGGGGGGAAGGAAGGGAAAGAGGGAAGGAAGGCAAGAAGGGAAGAGAAAGGAAGGAGGAGGAAGAGGAGGAGGAGGAGGAGGAGAAAGAAGAGGAGGAGAAGAAGAGGAGGAGAAGAGAAAAAGGAGAGAGAAGAGGAGGGAAAAAAGAAAGGAAAGGAAGAGGAGAAGAAGGAAGGAGAGGAGAGGAGGGAGGGAAAAAAGAAGGAAGGAAAAGGAGAAAGAGGAGGAACGAAGGAGAAAAGGAGGAGAAGAGGAGGGAAAAAGAAAGGAAAGGAAGAGGAGGAAGGAAGGAGAGGAGGAGGAGGGAAAAAAGAAGGAAGGAAGGAGAAAAGGAGGAGAAGAGGGGAAAAAGGAAGGAAAGAGGGAAGGAGAAGGAGGAGGAGAAAGAGGAGGAAGGAAGGAGAGGAGGAGGAGGAAAAAAGAAGGAAGGAGGAGGAGGAGAAGGAGAAAGAAAGGAAGGAGGAAGGAAAAAAAAAGGAAGAAGGAGAAGAGGAGAAAGAAAGAGGAGAGGAGAAGGAGGAGGAGGAGGGAAAAAAGAAGGAGAGGAGAAGGAGGAAAGGAGAAAGGAGGAAAGGAAGGAAAGGAAGAGGAGGGAGAAAAAGAGGAGGGAAAGAAAAAGAAGAGGAGGAGGAGAAAGAAAGAGGAGGGAAGGAAGGAAGAAAAGAGGAGAAGAGGAGGAAAGAGAAGAAGGAAAGAGGAGGAGAAGGAAGAGAAGGAGAAGAAGGAAGAAGAGAAGAAGGGGAAAGAAGGGAGGAGGAGGAGAAGGAAGGAAGGAAAGAAGGAGAAGAAGAAGAGGAGGAAGGAATGAAGGAAAGAGATGAGGAGGAAAAGAAGGAGGGAAGGAAGAAAGAAGAGGAGGAGGAGGAGAAGGAAGGCCCCCCACTCCAGCCCCAGAACAAATAATTCCCACCCAGCAGAACCCATGTCTGACATTATGATTGTTAGAATTAGTAGTATGATTAATAATTAATGATCCTCACAGAATGAATAATACTGATCACCCAACAGAACCCCCGCCTTACATTTGTACTATGGTTATTATTATCAGTAGTAATAATAATTAATAAGAATACTATTAGTGTCTTAGGTCTCATGATTATTTTGGTTTATTTCATTTTACTGTGATTCTTATACTTCACTATTAGGATGACATTCCCTTTCCTTTCACTAGTAGTTTTCTAGCCGTAGCATTATTATTTTTTCTACTGTTATTATTCTTTCACTGTTAGTCTTTTTCTGTTGTTATTAATACTTTATTTTACTATTTCATTTTATTTCACTTTTCTTATTTCACTATATTATTATTTTATTTTTCCATTATTATTATTATTATTATTATTATTCCATTTTACTATTGGTATTTCATGATTATTAGTTTATTTTACTATTATTATTTCATTTGATTTCACTATTGGTATTTTTACTATATTATTATTATCATCATCAAAACATTATTATTATTATTATTATTATTATTATTGTTATTTCATTATTATTATTATACTATTGTCTTTTTCTGTTGTTATTAATACTTTATTTTACTATTGGTAATTCACAATTATTAGTTTGACTATTATTATTTCATTTGATTTTTACTATATTATTATTATTAACCCATTATTATTATTATTATTATACTATTGTTTCATTTTATTATTATTATTATTTTACTATTATTATCATTTCATTTTATCTTACTCCCAGTATTTCTCATTCTTTCCTTTTAGTATTTTACTCTTATTATTATTATTATTATTATTATTATTATTTTACTATAATTATTTCATTTTGTTTCTCTATTGGCATTTTACTATATTATTATTATTATTATTATCATCATCAACCCATTATTATTATTATTATTATTATTATTATTATTTCATTTTGTTTCTCTATTGGCATTTTTACTATATTATTATTATTATTATTATTATTATCATCAACCCATTATTATTATTATTATTATTTCATTTTGTTTCTCTATTGGCATTTTTACTATATTATTATTATTATTATTATTATTATCATCATCATCAACCCATTATTATTATTATTATTTCATTTTGTTTCTCTATTGGCATTTTTACTATATTATTATTATTATTATTATTATCATCATCATCAACCCATTATTATTATTATTATTATTATTATTATTATTTCATTTTGTTTCTCTATTGGCATTTTTACTATATTATTATTATTATTATCATCAACCCATTATTATTATTATTATTATTATTATTATTTCATTTTGTTTCTCTGTTGGCATTTTTACTATATTATTATTATTATCATCATCAACCTAGTATTATTATCATTATTATTCCATTTTATTATTACTCTTATTATTTTACTATAATTATCATTTCATTTTATCTTACTGTCACTACTGATTTTATTATAATTATTTCCTGTTACTTTTAGTATTTTTCTATAATTATTTTACTGTTATTATTTCATTTTACTATTAATATTTTACTGTTATTATTCCAATGCGTTTCACTCTTAGTGTTTTTACAATTATTTTGTTTCACTTGATTTTTACTATATTCTTATTATTTCGTTTTCCTATTAATATGTCACTATATTACTATTTTTATTGGGTAGACGGGTTTCTGTGCAGATTCAGAACAATAGATAGATAGATAGATAGATAGATAGATAGATAGATAGATAGATAGATAGATAGATAGATAGATAGATAGATAGATAAATAGAAAGATGGATGGATGGATAAATACATAGACAGACAGACAGACAGACAGATAGATGGATGGATGTCACAATAATAGTAAAATATAAGCATAACAGTAAAATAAAATAAGACCCAAAATACGAATATAATAGCATTCTTATGGATGATTAGATAGATACATAGATAGATGAATGGATGGATAGATATATAGATACACAGATAGATAGATAAATATATAGATAGATGAATGGATGGATGGATAGATACATAGATGGGTGGATAGATAGATACATGGATACATAGATAAATACATAGATAAATGGATAGATGGATAGATATATAGATAAATATATAGATGAATGGATAGATACATACATAGATAAATACATAGATGAGTGGACGGATGGATGGATGGATGGATGGATAGATAGATACATAGATAAATACATAGATGAGTGGATGGATAGATAGATAGATACATAGATACATACATGGATGGATAAATAGATACATAGATAAATATATAGATGAATGGGTGGATGGATGGATAGATAGATACAAATATAGATAAATAAAAACATAGATGGATAGATAGATAGATAGATGGATGCATGGATGGATGGATAGATAGATAGATACAAAGATAGATAAATAAAAACATAGATAGATGGATAGATAGATAGATGGATGGATGGATGGATAGATAGATAGATACAAAGATAGATAAATACATAGATGGATGGATAGATAGATAGATACAAAGATAGATAAATACATAGATGGATGGATAGATAGATAGATAGAAAGATAGATAAATAAAAACATAGATAGATGGATGGATAGATAGATAGATGGATGGATGGATGGATGGATGGATGGATAGATAGATAGATACAAAGATAGATAAATAAAAAAAAACATAGATGGATAGATAGATAGATAGATGGATGCATGGATGGATGGATAGATAGATAGATACAAAGATAGATAAATAAAAACATAGATAGGATAGATAGATGGATGGATGGATGGATGGATAGATAGATAGATACAAAGATAGATAAATACATACATGGATGGATAGATGGATGGATAGATAGATAGAAAGATAGATACAAAGATAGATAGATAAATAAATACATAGATGGATGGATAGATATATAAATAAATAGATACAAAGATAGATAAATAAATACATAGATGAATGGATGGATAGATACAAAGATAGATAGATACAAAGATAGATAAATAAATACACAGATGAATGGATGGACAGATAGATGTATAGATAGATAGGTAGATAGATTAATAGATGGATGGATAGAGAGATAGATAGAGAGAGAGATAGAGAGATAGAGAGGGATGACTTTAAGAAGGGGAAACTCCACTCAGTGGCTTAACCCAGAGGAGAAACCAGAAGGGAGAGAATGAGGACCCACCTCCTGGTGTTTCCCCGACTTTTTTTGGCCCAATTAGGTGTGGGGAAGAGCTCTCTTCTTCGCCTTTAATTCGCATTAAAGTTCCCCTTTGAAGCGGGACCAAAATTGTTTCCAATGCGGACGGATTTCCTTTTTTTTCCCGAGTGCGGAAAAGCACCTCCAAACCGATTTCTGGGGAGACCCTGAGAGGCTGAAAAGGGCCCCTTTCCTTGGGCGGAATTCTGTCTTGTTTGGGTCGGGGAGAGAAGTAGGACCCAAAGGGGCCCCAGAACTACTTTTTCCCCCCAATCCGAATCTCTTTTTGCCCCTTTTCCAATCCGAATCGTTGGAAAACTCGCTTCTCCCTGATTTGGGACGCTCCGAAACAACCGAAACCGCACTTGTGTTTGTGAACAGTTTCCTCTTGTGTTTTGATTCGAAGTTGGAGGTTCCCATGGATTTCGGACTGACTTGTTGTTGTTGTTGTTGTTGTTTGGGGAGCCTTTGGGTCTACTTCCGAGTCAACCCAAGCCTCTTTTCGACCGTTTATTCAATCCGAATCGGGGCCCCGCTTTGAGCAAGTCAAGATCCGAGCTAAGAGGGGAGAAAGGTTTCTTTTCCTTTCCTCTCTCTCTCTGATTTAGAGGGGGTCTACACTGCCAATTTAACGCA